TTCCGCAACGACGATCTGCCATACATGTCTTTATCAACAACACAACTTGAAAGAGGGAGAGCGTCACCCGGCAAAATGCTGTCCCAAGTGGAATGGGAGCCCTTGGAACATCGGAGAGCAGCCCAGGGATCGACCCTCCCGTCTACAAATCTGTCAACAAAATTGTTGCCATCAATCAGACTCATACCGGATCAAACCAAACCATTCCACAAGACAACAGGTAACAATCTCCTTCATCAAACCATCCGCACGTAAAGACTGCTACAAGTTCTCATTATTTCCAAGAGCTTTTGGCAGAATGGAATAAATTACCACCGGAAATGCGTCATGCATTGCAATTTTCAAGTCGAAACTTCAATTTCTCAATATAGGTGATATCATCGGGGGAGTCACTTTACGTAAAATTTCTGCTCAGTTACTTCGCGCCTGCATATACATCCCTGATGAGGAGATTATGCAATATTCCACCACTACCAGAATTAAAAGCTTAACGAAGGTACAGCAATGATGGGAGGACTGATGGTGCCAGTCTATGAAGTTAGTCTGGCTCCAAAAGAGGTTTTCGTTTTTCTTTTGATTCAATAGGAGTAGTCGTCTGGGTGATATATGCTTAGGCCGGCCGTAGGTACATGTGACGTGTGTCCGAAAATGAGCGATTTATTGAAAGAATTTACGGCTTTTTCCGAAAGACTGGAACATTTTATTCTATCATTCAGTGCGAAAACGAACCTGGTTAATGTAAGAGTTGATTCGAAAATTTTGAGGTGGAGTAAAAAACCAAATCTTGGTGATTTCAGCGTAGCAGCGGCGGTCGCAGACAGACTGAAAATTAAGGTAGGGCCTTGGCTCCAGCGCCACGCACGGACGTGTATAATAAAATCTAGACTCGCAATGCCCTTAATCAGCTTATAGAGTTGTTACGCCCCAACTATAGCATAAGTCCCAACTATAGTTGGGACAGCCCAATAGTAGTGCTGCAGTTGGGCTGGCCCAACTATTGTTGACCAATGCCTGTGGAAAATGTCTAATCATTATCCAAGTCAATGTGTCTCACACGTGACACAATTCATCTAGCCCTATGAACAATGACATGACATTTGTAAACAATATGACTTTGGCACTTGCTGGTCACATCATGCATACTGGACCCCTCTGCTGTAGTCGGGCCGGCCCAACTGTAGCACTATAGTTGGGACGGGCCCAACTATAGTTGGGACTGATGCTATAGTTGGGGTGTAACAGAGTCATTGAATCCACTCGCGGCCATTTTACTGAGCCAAATACAAAGCTTTCCTGTCAATGCCCGCCTTTGTTCTTCATGACGTCTATAGAAGGGAGTCAACCCACGCTTTTGTATTCGGCTCGGTAAAATGGCCGCTGGTTGGCTTCTTTTTCATACAAAGGCATTGCAAGTCCAGGTTTTTTTTATATACGTCCGTGGCCTCACTTAACATGTGTTGGGCTGCATTGTTTAGTCACCTTGAGAGTCTGTGCTTGTGTGACAGACGAATCGGGAACCGGTGAAATGAATAGGTATAGCTGAATAACACACATGCACTTGCACCCATGTAGTGTACAGTACCGTGGGAGAGGAGCAGATGTTGGACCCCACAGTTCTGGGGGTACACTTAGCCCAGGTTTACAAGCTCTTTGTGGCCTTATCTATCCGTCTGGGGGGTGTCTGAATTTTCTGTGTTTGGCCTTAACTACCTGAGACCACTTGTGTTACTAAGCGTCATCTGATGTAAAATCACAGTGTGCTCACCCTTCAAAACACTTTTTGACATGTCTAATTAGTAATTGACTTGCAACATGATCATTGGAAGATTTATAACCTACCATCATCATCACAGGTTTTAGTGTCAGCAACACCAACAAAGATTGCATATGGGGCGATTTTAGCAGGAGGAAAGGCTGTACCGTGCCTCTGAGTAAAATAGTAGGGTGCTTGATACACTTTTTTTTGATACACGTGTTTTTGGCACTTGAAAGTTTTGAAGGTCTTTACAATTGTACTTTTGCTTAAAAAGTACTCTTTACCGAAAACCCTCTTCCAGGATAGCAAGGTTTTCAGCGATGCACTACTCAAGGAATCCCTTCACTGGCCCCTCCCAATCGATACCTGCGCACTCACAGAGCAAGGAGCACTGGGCTTCAAGCTCCATCGCCCCAGCATCTTCAAGAAGGTCCTGAATGGGGTGGTGCTTGAGGGTGACAACTACGGACAGTTTGCAGGCAAGGGAGCTGATGTGACTCCAGTAGGAGTTGGCATCATCATTAGCAGCCTGGCGAGGGTTGAGACAGGGGACATAGCTTCACAAGTTGACCAAGACCTCACACTCGGTCAGTTGAGAGGTCTGCTTCTGACGGAACACCTGTCAGCTTTGCTCAAAACTGCAGGGTTAGTCTGCCAAGCCAAGAAAAAAGTTCAGTGTCCGGCCTCCTTGATTTTCCAGTTTCGTAAACACAGACCAGTTTTTAACAGAGTTGCTGCCTTGAGTCATGTGACTTGGACTCGAGTCGCTATTTTTGTGACTTGACTTGTAAATACCAGTTTTGACTTGTGACTTGACTTGGACTTGCAAAAAATGACTTGTGACCTGACTTGGACTCGCAAAAAATGACTTGTTACCAACCAAAGTCAGATCGACACTACTCCCCGACCCCATATATTTTTATAACTCATAACTTCGTAAGTTGCCTGGTTCTTTTTGCTGATTACAGCAGGACAAAATAATGTGCAGCTTGACTTGTACATGTACAAAGAGACTCGTGACTTGACTTGTATATAATGACTTGTGACTTGAGTTGGACTTGCAAAAAATGACTTGCTGCCACCTCTGGTTTTTAAAGGGCTGCCTTTTATTTTTGACAGAATTTTAGCGAAGAAAGGATGTTCAGTACTTAGGAGTAATGACAAGACTGCTCTTTCATCTTGTTGGTGTTCATGAAATCCAAAGGTCACAGAGGCCGGATGAATTACGTGAATTAAAGCCAGAATTATCTTTTAAGTACATCAAATAAGTTGAAATTGAGAAGATATGTTGAGACTGATAATTTTAACCCTAACACTCCTCAGTCCTCCAACAGGTGAAGGATTGAGGAGGGTTAGGGTTAATAATGGTCTCACTTTCAGGGAAAAAGGGAGGAGGGATGACAATGTAGAAGTACTGGCCTTTGCAAAATTGAGTCCTTTTTCTGAGTCTCCTAACAAGCTGCAATGTGGATTAAGTGGGAGTCGGGCCAAAGAATCACAGCAGTGTTGGCTGGGTTGTTTAAATATTAAAAAAAAAGGGAATGTAAGCGCTTGGGCTAACATAGCGTGCAAGAAATATGCAGATGCTTCTAGGCTTTGCCCACACAAGTACGTGGATATTTCGGGCATATTTTTTTTTTACTAACACTCAGGTACCATTTCGTCAAAAACTCCAAATGCACTGTTTAGTTCTTTCAGGCTTGATTCCTGCTTTACCACCTCATAATTTGATCGATTTGTGAGACTTGGAAAAAGATTCATCAAATCCTTCTCAAAGTGGCTTAGCTCTGCCATCTTCAATCCTGCAAAATCCTGCAGAACTTGATGGTAGGTTTTGGAATGTCAAGAGTAAACAATTTGTGTGCAGAGATCGTTGTTTTGTACCATGCGTTTGTTTAGATTTCAAGTAAGCCGTCTGACGCCAGCTACATACTCGTCCGAAATTTTGGACCGCTTTGGAATAAAGCCCTTTGATACGTGTGGAACTGAAGCAACCGCATCACAGGAACTGAAAACAGAAACTCAGGACAGATTAGTCAGTAAAGCCTCCCGCTGCAAATTCAGAACTGATAAACCAAGGTCCGAATGGCAAGAGGGCATGAACTCAGATCAGAGGTCAAGTGAGGACTTCGGGGCTGGACAGGCTGACTGTACTTTCAGGGATGGCGACCCCAAGGCAGCAAGGTTGTTAAACCGTGCGGACATCAGTCTGGATTTGCATCAGTTCATCCTGGATGAGAAGCTGCCTCTGGGAAAATCCGGATATGACAAGAACCTGCAAAAAGTCAAAGGTAACTGTTTTGAAATGTCATGGTGTAGCGTACCTGAATCCTATAGTTACCATTGTGATGGACCACATGGCATTTTTCACATTGTTCTGAAGTGTTCTTAGTTCATATTGTATGTATGCTTCCTATTGTATTGCGACTTGTGAACTCACCAGTTCAGCCAATGGGGATGAATGGTGTCTTCAAAGATCAGAACACCATCGCAGCTTTACTGTTACTGAAGAAATTGTCTTGAACCCAACATTGAAGTTGTTTATGAAGTAGAACAAAACCATATTCGTAGGCCGAGTGTTTTATACATGTGTGTCTGTACATGGAATCTTTACTCTTGCCCTATTGTGGTTGCTTATGTCAGAAGCTTCAATATATAAACTTTGACAGTTACGCAAATTATCTTCAAGCAAACTTGAATTCTCAATTCTGATTGGTCAATCCATGGCAACAAACAGCGTGATACGTAACTGTATTGCACAGTTCATATCAAACCGTGCGTAGTGCACTTTTCTAACTCCGTGCATTACGCTATTTTTATTCGAAAAGCAAATGCACGCCTGCAACATTTACTGTAAATACAAAGGTGGTGCATTTGCACAAACGTCTTTACTGCCCATCAAGTTTGCATAAGGATAAATTCGTTATCACACTCACGCTCGTGGAACGTGGAATAATGTAGTCCCGTATACCACGAGGCCAAAGACACACTGCATTATTCTGTTTTCCACTCACGCTCGTGCGATAACTAATAATTGTCTATAGGTATAGTTGTAATTGTTAATACCTCACCCACAGGTTCTGTATCTCGACTTACTGAAAGCCAGTCACGTGACATTTGCTACTTTTGCTATCTTGGCCAAAAGAACTGTCCTCATAGCAACCAAAGAACTGTACAATGACCACCAGCATTGTGTGCAAATGAATACTGGCGTGTGCGTTGTGTGCATTCCGAATGTGTCAGCCGTACGCAACTGAGTTCAAATATTTCATGAAGAGGTAGTTTGGGAAAGCTCTGGGAACTTTTCAAATTGGCGCACCTGTTATATGTATTAAAGTCCAATCAATTAGCTATCATGCCATCCAAAGCAGTCATTAACCATGTAATGCTGTGTGTGTTTCAGGAGCAGTTCCCCTTCTCATATGCACAAACAAGCTGATAAAAAACATTTTGTTGATTGGTTTCCATTTGAACCTGTAGAAGAATATTCAATCACTACTTGGTTGATACATACCTGCATGTTTCCAGTTGCCATTATTTTTACCCTAACAGTCATCAATCCTTCAAAAGTTGATGGATCAATGACTCTTAAGGTTAATGACATAAGCAAGCTGACTTTGGTGTCTTTGCACTGCTGTTAACAGTCTAATTGCTATCTCACTAAATTTTGTAGTTGTCTTACCCGATGGCTCACCCTCTCCAATCTTGATGCAGTGTTCCTTCATAGAGGACAGTCTCAGCCAGACAAATCCACAGGTAAGTTTGAGTTCCAATTTTTTCTTAACGTTATTTGTTTATTTGCTGACCTTCGCAGAGCATAAAACATGACCCTTTGGTCCAGTATCACAGAAGATAAGAAGGGTATCCTCTACTACTTGCTGACCATTGCCGAGCAAGTGGTCAAACACTTGAATGTTCATGAATCACTTGAAAACGGGTTCATTTATCAGCATGGTAAACTGCCGTCGAGTGAATCCAGAGCAAAAATGTTTATTGAGGGGGTGTTTGCAAACATTGAGAAGTTTTATGGTTCTTTTTCAGGTGTGAAGGTAAGTTTTGGACTTTTTACCCACTTAGGGGAGTGAAGGAAGAGGTCCTCCTCTTTTGGGGGTGATTCGGTCCTGTTTGACCTCATGAATCTGCCAGTGACCGTCATGGCATGACCACATTTATGCATTTTCTTTCCCTCTTCGAAGCCCTCCCACGTAATTCATGTCGCCAGCCAAGGGTCGTGTTTCCAGCAGCAGCAGGCAGCTCTTGCTTGGCGCCTGTGCTCAACAAGAGCCTCGGCGGAGACCATTCATCAGCACCACCTAACCCACGGCCCTGTCACTGCTCGGAAGGCAGAGTCAAAGGGGAAGGAGGACATCAGTGCAGCTGAGCTCCTCCAAGTACGAGAAATGCAGACGAGGAAAGCGTCGGTCTTGAAGTACGGGGAGGAGGTGCAAGGTGAAGAACCTTTATCTTTGGTTCACAGAGGCTGTATTCATTATTTGCTGATAGCTAAGCAACTTCAGAGGCAAATTACTTCGAAATGGCAATACAGCTGTAGACTGTGAAAATAACCCACCCCGTCGTTCAGAATCCACCAAAAGGTTTTGGAGGATTTTGCAGGATAAAGGACGATACAACTCCGTCACTTGTGCTTTTTATTGGGCATGTTAAGCGCAAAGAATGAGACGCTAGCTTCTCTCACAGTGGAGGATTCAGTACGGCTCCTTTAAAAATATTTGGGTGTTGTGCTGGTGATTAACTCAGTTGTGCTCTAGTTAGCACGACCTTTCTTTTATGGAAACTGTTAACCACTTCCTGCCGGGGTGCCCGATTTCGGGCACACAGGCTTCGGGCACACAGGCTTCGGGCACATAGGCTTCATACAAGAAGCCAGGGAGCCTGAAATCGGAGAAAAGAGTTTGGCCTTGTAACAAAAGACCCTACTCGGAACAAAAGACTTAGCTGCTAGGAATTGCCAACATTTTTTTAGTTATCAATAGCAGAGAGAATCCGTCATTCTTTCGAAAGATTTTACCACTGTTTGTGGCATTCAGCGCGAGTGGATCACCACCAGGGACAAAAGCGCTCCAGTGATGGGTAATACAAGACGTCAGCAGCGCACTGTGCCAGTTTCAGGAACAAAAGAAAATTACGTAACACAGCACAATCTGGGCTCTTTTTACAAGGCAACAGGCCTGGCTGAAATACTCGAGCGTCAATAGATGTTGTGTGTCAGATTAGAGTAGCCACCAGACAGTCATTCATGTGGGTGTAAACGTCCAGTAAATGAAGTTATGAATTTTTAAAGAATTTTGAAAACAGAAAAAAATGAAAAGTCACCTGGCCCAGCAGAATCAACATGGATAAATGGGCCTGACGCGAAGTGGTTAAGGATCTGCATGCAAATAGTGCCAGAAGACCTCCTTGATATTTACCTTCCAGTTGATTAGCTTTGTGTTGTTTTGAAGGAGGCAGATAATAGAGTTATGTCATGTTTTACCCTTCAGGCGAGGGTTGGGATCAACTCATCAGAAGACTGGCAATTGCTGGACTGAAATTTGAAATACTGGGAAAGCAGTGCGGACACATGGTGAGCGATGCAGTTGTAGTAATCTGGTGTAGATTTGAACAAGGCCTACAAACCTTAGCAGGACCAATAGATCAACAAACTTGGAATAAGTGAAATAGACTGCTCTTTTTTGCAACACATGAATGAACATACTGGAGCACACGCTGTTAGACTCATCCCACTGAGAACAGTGGGCCTTACTACATTGTCGAAAAATAGTGCAATCAATGATATCCCAAGCACTCTGTGGTGTGTTCTTGTCAAGATAAGTTACTTTGTGGTACAGCTGATGATGCAAGAAACATTTAGTCAGTTTGCTTAATCCTTGTTTTCAAAACTTCTGCATTGTTGAGAAATATGCATTATTATTAGTCGCTCAATTCCATGCCATTTATTCCCCTTTAAGCTGAAGGTAGAGCTGTCCAACTCCCGTAACTCCAGCACGTGGCCAGACAGCAGGGATGGCGTGTTTGTGATGTACAATTATGCACGGCTTTGTACACTGTTCAGCCATTTTGAAGAGGAGGTGGCCAAAGGTGAGATGCCTATGCGCTTGCTGTTAAAGTTCTTTCGCGCCATGGCACTTCACAAATCAATATCAGAGTGTCACTTTGCTAACTCTGTTTTTGGTTTGGTCTATGATCCATCACGGGCTAGAATGATTCTACAATTAGTCCAAAACTGTCTTTTCCAAAGCAACGTTTCAAGATAAGCTTGGTGGCTCACCCCATCAGCCGTGCTGGTGGATAAAAATGGCAAGACCATGTTTACACATCTTCTGGGGAAAGTGGCTTGAGAAATGAACGGAAAGAATAGTCATTATTTTTAAAGCCTATTTTAAATATTAAAAAAATTGTTATTTAGGTAGTCTTGCTAAATATTCAAATACAGTCATTGTACTTTATCTGTCATCAGTTCAAATTAGTTGCCTTAATTTTTTTCCCTCCAACATTGTCAGGGACATACCCTCCCCTGCCTGATATCGCGAGCTTGGACTTTGGCCTCCTACGCGAAGACCAGGAATGGGGACTGCTCTTCCACTACATCTTGCAATATCCCGTCATGCTGTCCGAGTGCGTCGCTGACTTGCTGCAGACGAGGGGGCCGCATATCAGTATCCACACACACCGGGTAAGACCGTTGGCATGGGTTAAAATGGAACCTAGTAACCCTGAATCATCAAGCGTTTGTCCCGAGGAGGCTGTTTTTATAATTCACGGTGCCCGTATGGTTTTGGTATTAACCATCCAAAATTACTGATTTATTTACAAGGGTCATCATTTTTCTAAGCAGGAAATCCAACAAGAGCATCAAGCATGTCCAAAAAATTTGAAATATGCCCACTCTGTTTTCAAACAAGAAAACCACTCCCTACTACCAGCGAGTTGGCTCTAATGGTCCAAGTTCTAATTTACTTTTATCCTTTCTGAAACAGGTATGCGGTTTCTTGGTCAGCCTTTGCCGTGATCTGAGCTCATATTACAGCCATACCCACGTACTCGGGGTAAGTATGCATGACGGTCTTTGTCCACACTGCAGCTCTCTTTCCCTAAGATCACTCTAGGCCAAGTCTAATATGAAGCCAACGCTGTGCATATAATTTTTGTTTTGTCTTAAAACGGGTCAGTTACTATTGAACTGCTAGTGATACAGAACTTTTGTTCGGGATATCTCTTGAGGAAGGTTCTTCTCAGAACTAAGTACATTAAACAAGATCACTGTCCAAACACTGTGGCGCACCGATTCATGTCTGTTTCCACCATGCCATGCTGTACATGTCGGTCTACTGCGTAACCAGTCAACAAAGGCAGTGAGATAAATATATGACACCCTTAAATGATGTCTCTTTGCGTAGGTCGTCAGTCCCCATGGAATTCTTTCCACGCTCAAGTTTTATTAAAAATCAGCTTGACTCTACTTTTGCAAGTGTGCTTGACTTGCTTGCTTGTCAAACTGTGCTTGACAATTTGCGCCTCCTCAGTGGGAGACTTGTGAGAGGATTTGTGGCAGCAACATACCTTTTTCTACTGCTTGCATCATTTCAAATTCACTCTCATGAACCTGAACATGATGTAAGCACAAAGTGTCCGAAAAGTCTTTTGTTAACATTAGTTGATATTTTGAAGCGTATTTAACTTTGGAAATTCAAAAATTGGCTCCAGTTTTAGCTGATACCAGATCAGATTCTTTGTCGCAAACTGAGGAATAATGGCATTCAAATCAGTCCGTGAATTGGCGAGCTGATTTCCTCAGAAACCCAAACTTTACAACAGAATTGCAGTGCCACTTGTGTAGACCGTCCCAAGGAGACCCACAGCCTTCCCAAACGACACCATTATCATTTTCTTCCACAAGGAGCCAAGGCCCCATCTCGTCCCTGTCATGTTGGCTCGTTTGCACCTCCTGAAGGGCGTCCAGCAGATCCTCAAGAATGGCCTGTCGCTTCTCAACATCCAACCTCTGTCACAGATGTAATGCCCTTCTATGTTACTCCTCCTGTGGTAGGCTTCTCAATGAAGAAAAGCCTGGGAGAGGGTGGGGACGAGTCAGATTTTGACTGGAGGCTTGCATCTGTAATCTACTGGGGTATTAATCCCTTGATCCAGTTGATCCAACTCGTGAGGCATTTTGGGTAGCAATGCTGAAAGAGCATTTCTAAAACACATCTTGTCATTTATCTGGTGCTGAATTGCCGCTCTTTGTAAATTCATTGTTTAATCCACTGAGCACGCACGTACGTGCCAGGCTTCTGACATTCGATTCGATTATCAAAAGAGTGGGGGTACATCTAGCATAAAATAAGGCACCCGACTGTAACCCACAGCATTAGCAGCAATAAATAGACTGGAATTCGGCTTATGCAACAGTAATGAGTTTTGTCGAGTTGAGTTTTCGATCTAGCGCTCTGGTTCCTTTTTTTGTTTGGTTATCTACCAGTGTTGTAGAAACCATCACAAGGCTTCACAAGACCCGTCACAAGACCAGTCACAATTAACAGGGTGAATAGTGACAACGGAATGTGTTTTGTTTTAGTTCAGTAAAACAGACCGTAACTTGAATACAGATAGGTGAAATATGATATATGTCTTTGGCTAAACACCTGGAAGTTGGTATTAAACAGTAGGAATTGGGCCTAAAAATTGAATGGAAAACATTTCCCTTTGAACTGTTCATCACAAAGCATGTGCTAAATCTCATCAGTCACCCAGCCACGAGGATTCAGATTTCAGTCGACTGATTGGGGCATTGAAACTCTGTAAAAGCCAAATGTTCCTGCATTTCAAGTTACACAGACTCTTGATGCTAACGTGCAGCTACGCGACCCGGTGGTATAACGGTAAATACCATATTAAAACACCTGTTTTTCCACATGAAATTGTCATGAAACATGTATGCATATGCTATACAGGCACACGTCTCGCTGGATGGCTCGTATCTATAGCAGGCTGCCTCCTTGTGTTGGAAATTCGTCACAAACCATGACAACATGGTCGCTAATAATAACAGGAAGTACAAAGAGTTTGGCAAGTCCTTATTATTTGTTTGCATCGCACAGAAATTCCCATGAAAAGTGAATGAGAAAGCCGGTTTAGTGTATTTGTGCAAGTATTGAAACATCATTTGTTGTGCATTTTGTCATTGAATTGTGCTTTAGAATTTCACAGATTCTTCTGTGCTACCCGTCTGGATTTTTGTGGCAAATTGTAATTTTTATAGAGGAAAATAAATTATTTGATGCTGCTGTGTTTTTTAAAGATATGTTGGTGTTTTAATTTTTGTGCGATTCCGACTTGTGTCTTTTCTATTGTGTTTGTTCATATTTATTGCTTTTTTATGCCGCCGACAATTAATTTTAGCCAAAAATGGCTAGTTCGTTTTGGACAAAAAATCTGGGAAACAAACTTTTATACCGTGATCGCACGTGTTCACACTAGTCCGAAAAGGAAACGCACCAACTCTTAGAAGTAAGTATGGCCAAAATTTGATGAAAAGTCAAATCAACCTCACGTAGTCATTGATCATCCCTGATTTACAAAGTAAGCATCTTTCCATATGTACGCTTTTTGAGTGCGTTGCGTACACGATGCATTTATGAGTTTCACTTTTATGGACACAAAAATCGACCTATTAACATGACACACGTGTGCGTTGCGTTCGGCTGTCAAAATCACCCGGGAGCGATTTTGACGTTTACATACGCAACGCTTGGTGCAAGTGTTGACGTGCATGGAAAGTCGCCTTTAAATCTCATGATGTTCGCAGAACATTTTACTTACCAAGTTCCTGTCGAATTACTCGCCAAAGATTGAGACCGCACGGCAACGGAACATAACCTTTCCCTTACCCTATAGTCCCATCCTACCTTAACTCACAGTGACCCCACATGAGATTTATATGTACCTCAAAGTAATGATACCCTATCGCACCATTTATTATCAGTGATCGAAACCTTTTAGGTCATTATATTTTCCTCCAAATTCTTTGATTATTCCGCCTCATGCCACCGGTTTGACCCGCCGTCTTATCTGAGGCGGCTTCATCGCGGCCTCCCTCTGTTCCTTACTCGCAAACTTCATCACGATCTTCTTCGGCCTCTTTAATCTCCTGATCTGCATGGCCTGCTCCCGCAGCGAGCGGTTATGCGCCAGATACTGGGGCGGGATCTCAAACACGGAGAAGGTGAACGCCGACGTGAGCGGCAGAAAGTTGAGGGCCACCATCCGTTCCAGTTTCTGTAGCTCGAGGGCGTGCCTCCGCCACACCTCGCTGACCGTCTCCCAGACGCTCTCGGCCGGTGAGCTCGCCCGGGACGTCTCGCTGCTGGACGAGTAGACGTCGGTCTTCTTGCCGGAAACCCTGGACGGCGTACGCGCCGACTTGTCGTAGAAGTCGCGGCTGCTGGGACGTACCACCATGGACGGCTTCATCAATTTGGCATTGAGAGCTTGGTCTGCCGGTAACTGGGAGAGATCACTGACCGGCCCCGTACGCTGCGGGGATGGAGTTCGCCTGGTCACTCCCGGGGGCTGCCTAGCAGTGTCCCAGTCAAAGGTCCTCGGTAGAGTAGAGTAAGTCATTCGAAAGGATTTGTCGGTGGAGACAGGGTGCAGGGAACCCGCTGGCGGCGGGGATAAACTCAATTCGAAATTGTCAAACTGACTGAAGAGAGACTTCATCGGTGATTTGGCTTCCCGTTCCCGCATAAGCTGATCATCCATCTCTTTCGGCATTAGGTCTTCCTTTGCGGATGCAATTGCCGGAAGAAATCCTGTTGATTTTTCTCCTCTCTCGCCTTTCTCACCGTTTTCTTTTGTGTTTACATCGTCGGCAAAATAATCTTGAGTGTTTGGTTTCCCACCTGATACCTGTTGTCTTGCAAGACTTTGTCTCTTGGAAGTATCAAATTCCTCCCCTGCACGGGGTGGAGGTTGCTTTCTACTCGCTCTGGGGTCACACATTGGCTCTCTTCCTGTGTCCCAACCTGCGGTGGGTCCTTCCTCCTCTTTTCTATTGACAAACTCACGCCGTGCATGGTCAGTCCTAGGCAGCCCCAGAGATCTCTTCCTGTCCTTGGTTCTGGATCTTTGCTCCGTATCGTGGACATTCAACGACGGTAACTGTCCCGGTACTGTGCCCAGTGGTGGAAGCGCCGTGGCTGCCGCATGAGACCCCAACGATTCCCGGCGAGGAGCAGAGCTGGACTGAACGCTCGATCCGGACTCTAAGCCGTTATTCCCGTTATCGTGGATCTTTTGCTTGAAAGTAGCCTTTGTCAGACCCTCATCGGACGATTGATGAGCTATGTTCTCGGGTGATTTGTGAGCCGCGCCAAAGGCATTCGACTGCGCAAGGGTTTCCCTTGGTGTCGCGAACACGTGCTGCTCCAAGTTCCCCGGTCTCGTGTCTGGCTTTCCTGTCACGTTCCGAACGGCAGTGTTCCTGATGGGAACCGCGTTTTGATCCCTGGAAGCTGATTTACTTCCCCTAATGGTATGTCCGCGGCCTCCTCTCGACGAGTCGTTGCCTTCACCTGAGGTGCTTCTGTCCAAGGTTTCTTCCTCGTCTTCAATTACGCCCATGTAGCTGATGCTGCCGTCACGCCGGTTTTTCTGCCCGGCCAAACCCTTCCCCACACCACCTTTTGAGCTTGGAATCTTCTGACGGTTTCCCTTTCCTTGGGATGGCAGTGGTCTGTTTCCATCTTTATTATCACTGACGCCGAGATCGTCTGGACCATTGATGAGTTTCTCAAAGGATTCATTGGTTTCGACTTCGTCAGCGCCTGCAGAGTTATTGAACGAAGCTGCTCCGTAGGAAAGATACTGTAAGAGTCTGCTCCTGGTAACGGTTACTTTTGAGACTGCATGAGCAGCTGTGTCATCTTCAAATAATTGTTCGCTGTCCTGAAAGATCCGGTGGTTGGTTACAAAATCTATTTCTGTGTCCGTAATGCAGTTTCGTATGGTGCAATGCGGGACTGGACTTTCCACTGTCTTTGAGCTAGGTGGCTCATCTGCCAAGTCTTGGGAGCAGGACAGGAAGTTTCCGTCAGGGATCTTGTCTTTTCCACCGTTGAAAGAATCGTACTGAGGTGAACAATTTTCACCAGTGTTCTGTCTCTCTTCCTTAGGAACAGGTTCTTGCTGAAGGCTTGCTTCGTTTGATTCGTGGCCGTCCGTTTCGGGACTCTCAAAACCGGGATAGTTTGCGTGGATGTCTACCGGCACTTGATTGACTTTGATAGAGTTCAAAGGTAATGCACTTTCCCCTGTCTGAAACTTCATGTCTTTGTCCAAGTTGATGATGTGATTCTTAGAGAGATATGATGCTTGGTCGGCTACTGGTGTCCTCAACCCTGCAATGAAACAAATTGGCGGGAAAAGACGTTTTGGCGTCACAGCTGAACACAAGCAAAGGGTTAAAGAGCAAATGGCGCTTCCGCGACAGCTGTACACCTGCTCCTGTGACGTGACTTTCTCTGGAAATTTGTTTCAGTGTAAACCAATTTAGTTAGAGGTGATACTATGAAAGCGTCCCTCGATGTCAAAAATTATGTCGAAGGCACTAAAGACGTTAAATGATTACCCGTATTTATGCTAACTGGATCAACGATGGAGGGATCACTTCCTCCCTGCCCAGTGTGGCAATCGGGACCTCCCCTGGTGTCTCTTTCATCGCTGCTAACGGTATCCGCCTGCTCACTCTCGCAGCTGGGTTCACCCTCTGCGGATGAGGTGGGGTCCTTGGTCACTTCCTCTTGGTTTGTTTTTGAGGGCAAGGCTTTCGGTACGTCGTTCGGCAATGATTTTGCAAAGTTTTGCCCGCCTTCATGTAGGCTTCGATGGGTGGAGAGATTGCTTTCAAGATCCTCGGCCACTTGCCAAAGTTGACTCTTCAGATTCCAAACTATCACGAGAAATTATTTCATTCGTATTGCAGCACTCTCAGTTCGTTGTTTTTAATTTTTTAAAATATACCAGGCTACTGTTATTCCTGTTGACATTTATAATTGAAATCTGTCCGTCGATTGGACTATTATGTTTTTTGGGGGTGTTTTTTGTGTGTGATTCTTATTACATTAGTCCATGTAAATCAGATTTCCAACCTGAAGGGAATAGTCAATAGAACTACTAATACCAGGTTGGTTATCAAGCAAAGTTAATAGCACTAACCAAAGGAGTCTGGTATAAAGATAAACCTCAAGATTATACCTGTTATTGCTTCCTTGTCCCCCATCCCTGCTGCGGGCCTCTTCAGATCCCCCTGTCTACCCATCCCTGTTTGGTTACGTCGATGAGATTCCGTTAGACAAAAGCCGTCTCCCCCTCGAGTTGTTGGGACGGTCTCGGCCTGAATGGCCTCCAGAAAGCATTGCTTGTCGATTGGGGTCAATTGGGCGAATTTCTGACGAGAAGAAAGAAGTGTCATTTGAACCAGCCCTATAAAGTTGAGTTATGGGCGTGGCCTGATGACAAGTTCACTTAGATCTGTGCTTTGTGGAAGTATAAACTGAACAGAAGTAGTTTCTGTACTGGGGAAGTCGCAATGAGTGTGTCAGATGAGCTACGGTGTATTTGTCTTTTCCATGCACCGTGTACACTAGTTTTGAAGAAAGGACGGAGAGATGATTAATGTGTTTTAATGGATTGGACGAAAGCTCTTAAGAAATACCAAAAGATGACTAGACAGTAGGGAACCACTCACATTTGTAGGTATTTGTAGGACAACTTTGTAGGACACGGATTCTCCCGTACATGAGGCCACGTCAGAATTGGCTGCGCACGACTTTTTATGGGAGCTGGCTGCGGCCACTATACCACAGATCTCGATGTAATTTCAAGGCGTTACCCAGTAACTTGGATATGGCCCTACCTGGAGTATTTCGTGGCTGCGACTCGTTAAGGCAAAGCTTGGGCCGCTCACACGACTCTCGGGCTCCTGGCAGTCGGGAGGAGGCCGGCCATGAACGGCCCAGTGTCTGAGGCACCTGTCGCAGTGGAACACCGGCTGTGCCAGACTGCCATTATCGTCTCGGTGTCTCGTGATCTGGTAAGTGATGACAAGTAACCTGAAAGCCTCCTGGTGAAGTTCTTGATCCAATACATGAATGCATGATGACAAGTAACCTAAAAGCCTTCTGGTGAAGTTCTTGATCCAATACATGAATGCATCCGTACTGTTTGTCTCACAGTTTTCCTTTTTAACATAAAAATATTGTTCGTCATCTTTGACATAAAGCATGGCAGCATATTAAAATGGTTGTCTTCGCCATTTTCAGTGTCGTCGCTATTGTTGTCGATGATATTCCCATCCTCTTTACCGTCAAGACAATTTTAGGCAATGTCTTTGGTCCCTGGTGTTACCTGAATAATAACGCCCATGGATTGACACAGAAGCAGCGTCTTTAACCCCTCCTCCAAGGAACGAATGTCCTCATTCTGGTATCGGCACGGAAGAAAACCCAAACCGCCGGCCACTCTTCTAATACGTAGTCGGTGTCTTTGTTTCTGTCAATAAATGTACGGAATCATGAAGGCATCCCGTTCATTTTTAAGATAGTTAAGACGGGCATCAAACAAGGTCAAGAGAAAAAGAAGAACAGTTGAGCAAGAACTGAGGCGTGTACCAGTGAAACTCACCATGCACCCCGGCTTTAATAAACGGACCACACAGAAATTATTTTACGATGTTTTACGAATTCTTAGCGGACAAAATTCATCAGCAACTCTTACTTTCATGTTGACTCTCGAACCACTGTTTGATACTTATCGACTTTTGGATCCGACACGGCATAACTATCCACGCAAACCAACCTGGTGGTCTTGCCTCGGACTCGATCGGTCCCGGGGAGGGGGCAGTTTGAGATCTTGGCCTTCAATTGACAACACGACGTTGATCGCGGTCGCTGCTCCTTCACTCCGAGTCGATGCGTGTAAGTCAGAAGGGTGGTGGCTCACTTTAAGCTACAGTGATCAATAATGACGCATTGATGTCACATTAATGTATAGAGACCTATAAGATGCACATAGCCACTTATTTCTTTCACTTTTACTTGCTGTCGTGTATAATACACCTCAGTATTTCCTCCCGTGTACGTACCCCTTAGCGGGGTTTGCTTTCGTGTCAGTATAGGCCAATTCCTCTGATTTCGAGTGTTTTCTTTTTAAAAAAATCGGCATCGCATTAACATCAATTTTTGGTGCTAAAAGCCATCTAGTATTCCTAGAGTATTGGAACTAGATGCTTCTTTTTATGGACGATAGCACGCAGTTCGATGTGCATCCGTCTCGAGCAAAACAAATCAATTGCAGCTTGGATTTGGAAACCCCAGTGCAGAGATGCTGTGTTCGTACTAGATGTGATTTTTTTATTAAAAGATTTTTTGTACATGTGTTCGTATATGCCATATCTCACCCATTCTCAATTTGTTTGATATTTGTAATGCACCGTTTGAAGGTCCAATCAAGTGCTGCGATTTTCCCCCAAAGTTACACAGGCACCGAAGGAATCACACACTGGATTTGCACTTGTCGACTTAATATTGTTACTGTTTGTCACTAGCAGAACACGAGAACAGTAACTAATAAACTTTCATGAATTGAGGATGATAGGTTTATAAACAATACTTTGGCATTACTGAATCGGTAACAAAACTCCAAGTGGGTCTTCATCACCTGCGTTGTTTTCTTGGACCGCTGGAGAGTGGGTAGATGGCCCGGTATTGTGTATTGGCATCTGGCATCCTCACGGGCATGCGCTCTAGTGTAGTTTATGGCTGGTAAACACACGGCGATGTCGTCGATACTGTGGGAGCTGTCGAACTGCTGGGTTAGTGGTCGCCGGGAACCAGGCGGGTCCGTGCAGCTCTTGCTCGGGTGGGTTGGAATGGCTTCGTTCGAAGAACCGTCACCTTGCCTTTGGATTGAGCTTGTCGCCCTCTTCTTGGGAACCCCCCCCCCCCAAAAAAAGGGCAAATCGGCATAACAAAAAAGACAAGCAATATAGCTATGTGATAGTTCCAAACATCCAAGAGTCTACCTGCAATTTTCCTGCCCAAATCAAAACTTCCTTGCGACGGATTACAGCCAAACAATCCCCGACACAAAGTAGCTTGTCTCAGCACAGGATAGTGCATGAACGAGACATGATTATTTATCCTCATAATAAAGGTATAATTTTCCCTTACACCAAAAATGCAAATGAGTATTAATGTAAAGGAACTGCCCTTGACGGCCTTGCCGTTACTCTTTGTTTGCTTTTATTGATATAAATTTTCTTAGTTTGCCAATCTTTACTTTTTGGGGGCACATTTTTTAGTTTGTTCAACCAAAAGTTTTGAATGTTATTTCAAAACTTTCTAGAGGCGTGTGTGGGCCCGAAATGACCTCAGCAGCCTCAGGAAGTCTTCCATCTACATAGTTACAGGAAGATTTGTGGAGTCATTGTTGAGAGGATGTTGCTGCGGGAAATATGACAGTCTGACGCGCATGCTGTTTAAGTAAGGTGTACCCTTAGGGTAGTTTTTGCAAGCTTGTGTCTGTCCTTCTTTGAAAATGCAGCCTCATTGTGTATTGCGCATGGGTAAAATAAGGGGATTTTAGAGATGTAATTCTTACCAGTGCTGCTTGTTCAGCGAGGACGTCCTCAGCATGATGAGGTGCGGGTCGTACCGGGGACTTGCCACCACCATCTGATCCAACCAGAGTCTGACCAGCTTTGCCAGGAAGAACCACTCGTATCAAAGACATCTTTTTCCCGACGTTTTCAGTTCAACTATCGACAGCATTCGGTCCATAACTTGGACGACAACCTTTTGAAGATTTCACTGCAAACGAGACGAGTTATTGGCTCATGTATGAGGTTTATGAAGGTGAACGTCCAATTATGTCGGTGGTATTTTAAGAAGAAATGCCGACGGAGTTCTTTGGGGAAAGGCGTAATGCTACTAACCAGCAAGAAGATTGTTTTGGAAACGCGGAACTTTCTGCGCCAAAAATACGCCGGCGTGACGCTGGTCACCACACTGCCCCAACGTTGCCTGGACGCACCAGTTACGCGCAACAACGCACACGCACGCCAGCAGAGGAACACAAAGCTGCGTCATCAAAGGATTCATTCCGAACCAAAGATCGTATAGCGCCGCGTCGCAAAGTGGAGAACTCTGCCAAAAAGGTGTTATCACCAAGGGCGCCATTCGAGTGTGTGCACGTACGTTAATGCATAGGCGCAGGCACACTGGGCCCAATTTCATGGCGCTTCTTACCGCAGAATTTCGTGCCTACGATATCCATTCTGCGCTAACCACGCAAGCAGAAAATTCTGCGCTAACCCTTTAAGCACGGAATTCTTAGTTACGGGATGTACGCATGCGCACAAGCCAAAATTCCTTGCTAACCCGTGAAACACGTTCGGCGTAAGCGCAGAATTTTCTGCTACGGTAAGCGCCGATTTTTCGCTTGCGGTAAACAGCGTCGTGAAATTGGGCCCAGGTGCGCGTGCCTGTCGCGGCGCCTGCGCCCGTGCATTAATAAGGGAATATTATATATTGTTTGTTTCATCGGCATGGCACTGATTTTGATTGCCGGCTTCACGCTGATTAAATTTTGATGTGCACGTGTTAAATCTACAAAGTATGCATTGTTCCATCAATAAGACTCGGCTTTTCTTGCCGGATTGCAGATTACTCATCGCCCATGCATGTTTTACAAAATTTTTGCGGAGCAAGAAAAATTGCACAGCCAGAAGCCAGTTGTATAGGTCTACGTAGATCTTAATTGCCAGTGCTGCCGGCAGCTTGGAACAAATACTCCATTTGAAAACAACAGTCTCGTGGTGAGGCTACATTATAGACTAAAAATTTGATACAGCTCTACTGATGCTACTCTGTTGGTGTTACAAGTCCACCTGGTGTGAAACCATTATTTGATATAGAACCTGTTATATTCGACGATTCTGACAATTTATTGCCGTCTGTTGCAGTCTATTTTACATTAAATTGTGGCTTTGGGGTTTCATAATGATACACAAAATGGCCCATTTCTGACTCACTTGGCTGCAGCTTAAAATTGCACACAACTCCATGGGAAGTGGCTGCAGCCATTACCATAGACTCGTGTATTATTTCAAGCGGCAGTCGGGTATAAATTGGGACAGGGCCATTGATACGACAGATGCAGACCTCCAGACAAGACCAGATAGACAACAGTGGAGAAGCGTGGTCGTAAACTTGCTTCACAAAAACACTGTACAGTTGGTTTGTGGGTGAATCCTGTCCCGTCGGTAATCTAGCCAATTTTGATGCACAGTTTAAAACATACACCTCCTTCCAGAAAGTAACAACCAGTGACGGTCTGTCGTCTGTGTTGGACAGCTCGTCGTTGGAATGGGTCATCAGACGTCATCGACTTTAGTCCGGCACCAGCGCTGGTACGCTGTTCTCTGCCTGCACGTGTCCTGGTTGGTAGGCGTCAGCCTCTTCAAGGGTTTAGGGGTGATGCTGCCGTCCCTCACTGATCAGTTCTCAGCCGAGACGTGGATGGTTGGTTGGATGGTCGCCATCGTCGCCGGCGTGGCCGGCCTCACAGGTACATAATCCACTTGAAAAAAATCCCACCCGGAGTCTGTGAGATCGGGATCTAGTTTCACGGTTCTGAACAAGTAAGCGACTAATTTCCACTTGCACTGGCAGAAAATTCTACACTATTGATAGCATAATTATAGCGCGCTTTAAGGGTTAGCGACGAGCTCTTGGTGTTACAGTTTTGCTAAACGGTTGACGCCATATTGTCTTCTGTGCTGGTGCTGTGAGCACATAATGCAATGCTCAACACACACTGTTAATACCACGGCTCGTCAAGCTGTGGAATGGAACCCGCCATGCCCACCTGGTTGATGAGAATTTGTCAACTGAAATTGAGACTTGGTAAGGAGCTATAACTCTGGTTGAAGGGTTCGCTCCCGTTGCCATGCAGACAAAGATTTTTTTCACCTCCAACTCCTCTTGCAACCAAAAAGCTCCAACCGCTCTAAGACTTAAAAAAGGAGTTTATATTTTATTTTAACGCTGGGTTGTAAGCTTTCCCCAGAAATTGCTTACTTGATCACCACAAGAAGCTCAATAAATCCGTGTCATAGGCCTATAGCACAAGAACTGAAGTTGATATTTGTTCCTTTTTCTATATTAAGGAGCCCTGGAAATTTCATTATGCGGAACTATTTTAATACATGGTTGGTAAGTGGGCTATCAACGTCTCCATACGATTGTCCTCCCAGAAGTACTTTTTAGCCTTTTTGAAAATCTGTATATCCGTTCACCGCGCTGCAATACTGAACAATTTTAATTAACACTTTCTGCAAATCGCGAACACAGATGGGGAGCGCACTCAACGCTCGTCTATGTAAAGCACATCAGTACTTGTTTTTACAAATGAGCAGGTTGCCTCCAAGGACACTACCAATGTAGCTTATGATGGAAGGTGGCCATACTAAGAAACGGCGATTTTGTGCGCACGGGAAAATTTACGATTTTAAAGCCTTTTTACAGAGCATTAAAAATTCCACTTAAACGAGAAACTAACACGATTTAATGGGATTTTCTGAAAAAAAATGAACAAAGCCAAAAAATATGAGAGAAAATGATCATCAAAGTCGCAACCCGTTACATTTTCAATGGCCCGCTCACACTTCTTGCCGCCAAGGCCACTTGTGCGCATGCGGACATAATTATGAATTTATTAGTGAATAGGTCTATGAATCCTGCCGGGTGTATGTATAAAATGAGGATGCCCGCCCAATGCACAAATCAAGCAGAAGCTGAGACGTGTAGCATATTTTGCCTTTTCTTCTTTGTTACCGAAAATAACTACTATAAATTGTTCAGTTATCTAGAATTGAATACCACTGATTTACGGACAAGCTCTCTTGGGTGTCTCCCTCGTGGACGGGCGTCTGGGCGTCTCTCTGAAGGTGGACGATGCGGTCTCAGTCCGGTTCCGTAGGTTGCTTTCTTCTCGCCCCGGAACGTGAACTCCACTAAAAGGAGCCCTGAAATATTATACAAAATAAATATTTTTTGCTAAAGAATGCAACATAAATTTCGATCCAGCGCTGAGCGGGGTCAGACCACAATCTACTAAAGTGCATTAATTCACTGAATACGATGATCTTGCTATGGATTACGTAAGAGAGCGTTGCACTCTCTAAATTGCCGTGCCGTTAGTACACAGAAATTTGACCCTTTCTTACGCATAATATCAAAACTCCAAGTTTGTGTCATGTTTGGAAATTATTGAAAATAAAATAACACACACTGTGATCAACAGAGGCTTAGCAAGGATAGGTATTTGTGTGTTTGTTTTGTTTTGTCTTGTCTTGTATCTGAAAATGTCATTAAAAAAAACCACAAAAAACCGCTAAAATGTGTTTCATTCTAAAGCTTGCCTTTGGCCTGACAGAAACTTTAATATTCAGCATCCAAATTGACAGGGCTAATCACACCCGTTCAACTGCAGCTAGCTACTGGTCCCTATATAATACAGACGGGTACCAGTCCAAATAAATATGTGCTTGGCCGGTCTTAAACGTGCGTTTAAGACCGGCCAAGGAGAATGGACGCGACTAATGCCCGAGCCGCACGGTCTTAAAAGCACGTTTAAGACCGGCCACGCACATATTTATTCCCATTCATAAATACCTTTATAGTCAGTACCAAAAAAGTCAATATATAACAGATTTCCACTGATTTTGTTGTAGAATTTTACTTCCATTTACCTAACACCCTCGTCATATTTTTAGTTGTCTAACAGAATTTCTTTATATGGACTTGGCGCGTGCGTGGCGAACCGCATGCACACAGACTCTTGACCAAACAGAATCGATTAAACTGTCTCGTAACCAGGCGCCAGAGAATTACGAGTTACGGAGTGGGCATATATCACTTTTCACTTATCAAATGTTAATACGCGGGCAGATGCACATTGTTGAATAGGGCGACTGTCTGAGGTATTTTTGAAGGATTTAAATCACGTATTGACCAACCGTGCCGAGTTTGTGTGGATAGAGAGCAAATCAGGTACAAATAATTCCGGTTGTGTGAACTGTAATTGTGTGCACCAAGCCAAGTCCACTTATCCCTCTTTGAATACAAAACAAAATCAAAATAGAAGCAACAATAAAACAAGAAGTTTATGCCTGTTCGAGAACAGAGCATCAGGCTTTCCCGCATGTTGATTTTTTTTATGAAAAATAAAATAGGAATTTAAAAATGGAAGTTAAATGTCACATTATTTTCGTCCATAACACTTGCCTGGCCCTTTCCAGCTATCTGCAAAGTATCAATTCAATCGCACATGGAATCCAGGAGATACATGGCTTTAAACACTGCCCCTTGAATGTCACTTCAATGAAATTTGGCCACAGGGAATGTATAAAAACCCTTCCTCAGTATATTCGATAAGGAATTTTAAACATTCCTGAAATTCAGACGTGGACGCTTGAGATAATTTCATGCTCAAGTCGAACAAAACGAGACCAAACTCCAAAAAAATTGAATTTGTTTGTCCTTCACATAGCCTCAGAAGGTGTAAGCATTTTTAGGTTATTTATTTAAAAACACCTGTATTTGCCAATCAGGAAGGCATGCTCATAGTCACGGTAGCTTTCGTTGGGGATCTCTTTATATTTAATTCCTGCAATGACACTCACAAAAAGCATGATATATTGGCTATTCTCTTAATCACAACTATTTCTCGCAGCTATGTGTATTTTTACCAACACAGTGTAAACAGTACATGCATATTAATGGCCAAATGAAACAAGGGCAATTTCACTTTCCACTTTTTCAGCCTGTGACGCTCATGATAAGCTTTTGTTAAGTGGGATCATATCTACTGGGCTGAAGTGTAATCAAGAGGGAGGTCCATCACATTTCAAACCTGCTATCCCAGTGGCTGCTAACACGCTCTCACCTGAAGAAAATAGAAATGAATACCGTGTTGTCAGTACATGTAGTCTATTCAGCAGCATTTTTGATAAAGGTAATTATATGTGCATTTGTTAACTGTAAATGCTACAAGGATCGCATTCATTGGTGAAAGGTTTTTCCAGGTGTGGCACAGTGATTTGGGTGTTTTTAAAACACTTGAAAATTATCTCGGGAAAAAATAGAATGATTTTTTTTTGCGAGTCATTCAAAAAAGCCCGGTAATGCTACAAAAATGAAGGATAAGACCATGCAGCCAGGTATATATTCTGAAATGTGATTTATAATCAGTCGATCCTTGAGCAATGAGTTGATTTGAATATGCCCATAGTTCTGTCATCAGCTGATTTCCTTCTGCTTATTGTTGTAGAATATGTGGAAAAAAAAATAGTATCAGCTTTCAGCACAAAAAAGGTGATCAACCTTGCTCAACAAACTAACATTAGCGTAACAGACACTATTTCAAGCACCATTCACCAACATTTCTGTAAATGGGTGAACACTGCGAAATTAAAAAAAACACTAAGTTGCCATGCAATATCACACCATGTTTATTCATGTAATGTTGGGTTCAGATTTGCATGCCATTAAGACTCATGCGAGTGCATATGTGCAGGTATACAATGTTGTGGAGCATGAACCCATTCCAAACTGTGGGTTTCAATACCAGCGAAACGATCGAATTCAAGGCAAGGCATGCAAAAAATATTCATGTTAACGTACGTGATGTGGTTCCTGTGCTGACATGTCTTCGGTTGATCGCGTACAACTTCCGTCGCTGGTCATAAGAATTAATTGCCGTGACGCGTGACAGACTAGTGCAGGAAAGTTTGTCGTTGTGGGCTCAGCCTGCTGGCAATACATTTAACGAGGAACCTAGAGATACGGAACAGGATTTTAAAGTTTAACAAAATGAAAAGTAATGTTAGCCTTTGAACACACGTACTCGTTCTTGACATACTTTTTATCATTAACTTCACACAGATGTGTTCCTTTTACTTACCGAAGCGATTTTGATACTTGGTATAACTAGTATTTAAGTCTTTGCTTTCAACGTAGAGCTGACATAGGGCACTATGCGGAAAGCTCCCCCCCCCAAGTTTTAAACAAAGCCTTTTCTGCATAGCACACTACGTGGAGAAGCCAATTAGAGGCGTGTTGGGGCAGGATTACAAGTGCTTAAAATGAAGGTAAACAGTCAACAAAAATCCAGCTGACAAGAGTGTTCCAAATGCGAAAGAAATCAGAATTTCCTTAATAAACGAAATCAAAGAAGGTGCAGACTTAGGCATGCAAACGTATAAACGTGTGTGTGGGTGTTTCAAAGTGACATTTACCAACACAGTGTTGTTGCTGACAAATACGGCAAAAGTCCTAATCGTGGCATGTGAATGCTGAAACAGCTGCTACAAGCCCACAAACCTCGCCATTTCGCTCATTATTATGGAGATTTGCATAGCAATTCCAGTAGGTTTCACAAAATCATTCAAATGAAACCATTAAAAAGGAAAATAGAGCAAAGAGGGCATTTTTTAACTTTTATTTCAAAAGAGAATGGTTGCGCGGGTCATTCAATTCATAAAAGAATGATTGCGCGGGCCATTTTATTCGTAAAAGAATTCTTGTACGCTTCATTCAGTTCAGTAATGGTGTTCACAGATATAAAATGTCCATCTGTTCGTCTGTTTCAGCTTAAAGACTTAAGCCTTCATAATTTGATTTTCATCGATTCGTGAAAAGATATTTAAAAAAACCCGAAAAACAGTCGAGTCAGATGTGCAGTAATTGCTTTATGCAATCACTCGATTATTTCCTCTCTTCGTGTACGGTAGACGGAATAGGATGATACAGAACGACCTGCGTCGTATGCATATTATGCTCCGGACCCATAAAATAGGTACTGTACACTCTCTGAGCATAATATGCATACGACGCTCATCTTTCTACGTGTTCTGCTTTTCCGTCTACCCTTTGTGTACATGCCAAAACGTTTGCCTTCCAACCGCGTGGTTGTTAGACAGTATGGATTCCAATCTGGACCAAGAAAAAGCGCAGTTTTCCTAGCAGCAAAAGCTCCTATGGATGGTAACCACAGCCACATAAACGTATGGACAGCTCCTATTCAAAACAACAGCGGGGTACCGTAGCCGAGGCGGCACCCGACCAAATCCAAAAGCTTGGTATAGGGAATTTACACACGGCTGAAGAATTCCAGCCATAAAGGCTATGAAGCTATTTTCCGATTGTGAAAAATCCTCTGCAGATTCGAAACACTGCGGTTGTAACATTATTTTGAAAAGAAGAGATAGCACTACAACGGAGTGAAAAATGGAGCATCTTTTTAGAGCTCATGTAAGCAAATACATGCAATCTTAGTGCGTCACGCACAATTCTCACTGAACGCGGTACCATTCATCGCTTCGCCCGCTGCTTGCAAACGCTTTTTTTAATCACGGTAATACCAAACTCGTTCCCATGCATATAAGATCTTGTCGCGCCATGTTAGCTCCCACCTTGCGCTAGTGAAGGAACGCACGCGCAGCCCATGGAATCGAGGTTGCGGTTATGCGCGCAAGGCTGGTGGTTCATGTTGATTATGTGTGTGTTACTAACTGTGCATCGCTGGTTCACAAAAAAACGGTGCAAAGCAAGCACTGTAGTCGCATCGCTACCAACAAAATGAACACTCCAACCAATGAGAAGAATGTTTCTGCTCATGGTGGATAGGATGCTCCCAATGACCCCACGTGACCTGACGTACATCCTCCATTGTCTTGGGCAAGATTGCAAGCCGTGCAGTTGTTTTCTGGGGGGGAAACTAACAGGCTTCATTTTTTAACCTGAATATAAAAACATCAATGTCTAGTTTACAATGTTTGATGACCAAACGCTTGCCTACTGCAATCTTCGGGAAACCATGCGGTCACGTGGTACGATGACGTCTCTTGAACGGACCCTGCACCCTGCAGGATACATTTCCAGAATTAACTCTTTTTTTTTCAAGGTTTGCACGTATTGCATTACATTTATCTTGTCCTCTGTTGTTGGCCTGAAATAACTGCTAACGTCCAGTATAATGATGGTCAATGGCAGCTTCAGTAAGCCTTAAATCGGCCACACACGTGAATTATCCGCTTACCACATCGGGGACAACTTGAACTTCGACAAAACAGATTGCTCTCGTGTACCTCAGCTTCACACTGAGTAGGCAGCGGTGCATAAGGTTTTGGTTTAGCACCCCTGTTTGGATAGTGGTACGTGTCACCAGGCCAGTTTTGCTATCACCCTTTTGTTAAACATTGTAATACTGTTTGCACTCTCCTTCTGCCTTTATATGGCAGGTCCTCTGACTGGTCCCTTGGTTGCGCTGATCGGTCCTCGAACGGCGGTCATGGCCAGTGGTTTGGCATTGGGGACATCAATGGCCCTGTCTTCTGTAGCTACAAGCGTCGTACAGATGGCTTTAATTCTGTCCTTGGTAGCAGGTAAAATCACGAATTTTGTTGTTATTTTATTAGTAAGAAAAGAACAACTTTATAGTGAAAAACACAACGAAATTAATATCATACCTCATTTCTTGCCTGAAATTTAAAACGAGTATGCTGGAAAACACTGTAGACAAGAATATAATATATAATAAGTGCTCTCATATTTCAGAGCACTGATTATATATTATATTCTTGTCAATATTCTGATCACGGTGATACGCAGCCCTTTCATATTTCTCTGATTTTTATGCCGGAAACTGTAAGCCTTTTCAGTCAGTTATCAGCGGGACACTGCTCGGATAATACACCTCAAAAACAGCGAGATAAAAAAACGCGTTCCTCTGACACGATCCTTCCACAGGGCCCGCTTTAGTTGTGCCAGTGATCCTGACGAGAACCTTGGTGGGTAATCATTTTACCGAAAACTACGCCATAGCAAATGGGATTGCGAGCTCGGGATCTTCTGTTGGGCTGGTGTTTGTGGCGCCGTTCACCCAGTTGTTATTGGATACGTACGGCTGGAGAGGTACCATGCTGCTCTTAGGGGGCTTGTGCATGCATCTCGCGGTGTGCGGTGCCCTACTTCAGTCATCGCCGATCTCCGAGACAAGTAAGCACACGTACGAAGAACTTTCTCGCGAAAGTGAGCAGCTTCTCGGTCGAAAGGTCAGCGGGAAGAAGAAGACGTCGTGCTTCCAGGCCATCCTGGCAACACTGGCGCACCAACTTGGATGTTCTGTTTGTCTGCGCGCCTCTTTTTGGCTAGCAACCGTCGTCCTCATCTGTTTCCGCTTCGTGCCGAGTTTGTGGTTGGTGTACTTCGTATCGCAGGCTCAGTCCATGGGTTTCTCGGCGTACGACGCCACTATATTCACCACGGCCGCCGGGGTAGGGAACTCGGTCATCAAGATCAGCTTGGGCCTGGCCGTGGACCGCGGCTTCTTGTCGCTGCGTTGGGCTCTGTTGTTGTCCATCCTGGGTGCCGCGGGGACTCTACTGAGCAGCAGCTGGATGAAGGCGTACTGGCTGATGATGGTCGATGCTTTCTTTCATTACGGCTTTGTGGGAGTGGTGAGCTCCCTCTGCGACATTTACACCAGAGAATTAGTTGGAATTGACAACTTGGGTTCTGCCCTAAGTTGGATGGAGCTAATGGCGGCCATTTTACAGTTGGCTTTTGGATTTTTTCCAGGTAAGGCGGGAAAGCTCTTGAATCCACTACAGCAAGTGTATCTATTTGCTATAGTCCTAATAATTGACGTCTATCGAACGGGCTTGAATTACCTTTTTCTGCATGGGCAATGGAACCACCGCAGAAAGTAAGTTTACAATTAAAAAAATAAATGTAATATACCATTTTTATACCAAGGTTTGACCATCTGCATATGAGTACAAATAAGAGATTTGTAAGCACTAGAATATCATAATTACTCTTTTTTATACAAATAAACCTAAGGGACAGAAACATTTTTTTCCTTTTGTTTGTTCTTGTTTCTTTTTTGTTCTTTTCTTTGGGGGTTCTTTTTTGGTAATAGCTGGCTGCCATTTAGATCAATCAGTCACAGAAAAGCAGAGGAAATGCAGGTGGATGCAACCCTCGATTTTGACCCGAAAGGTCAATTCCTGGGCAAAGGTCAGATGGGACTATAAAGTTGTTTTTTTCTTTTATTTTCCAAGAATTGGACCACAATTTATGTAGTCTTTTGTCATCAAATATCTCTATTTTGGTGAATCAATACCTAACATTCCTGCTAGACAGATTAATAATTGTCATAATTGTTACATAATAATTATAACACTTTTTTACGTAATTTGAACTTTTTAACGTAATTTGAACCTAAAAATCATCTGGAAGAACAGGACCAAGCACAGAAAGTACTCATTTATTAGCCCCATAAGGCTGTAAGAAGTGCGACAGTTTCTCTACTGTTGCCACCAATGCATTTCCCTTTTTTTGACGAACCCATCAAGGAATTTCAGCGTGATAGTTGACCCATGATTTGACACCAGTATTGTAAGCACCTGGACGGACCATTCTCGGGAATATTTGCAACATGAAGTGCTAAAAATCCCTCAACGGTCAACTGTCCAGTAAAAGGGCTTTTTGCAAACATTGGTGCCATATACTTACGAAGGTAGCTGCTGAATTTGTCCATTTGGCATGGAATGGATGAAATGGGTATTCTACATTTCTCGTTTCAATTGACAATGTAACAGCTAAGAGTGTTAAGATAAAAAGAGAAAGTTCCCCGGCAAGATCTTGGTGTAAGATGAGACATTTTTATGACGTGTTCAGCTCCCTGCAACCGGGTGTTTGCCACAGTGGGAGGGCGCTATTTGAAGAGGGTAAAATTGGAGCAAACCTCTGGAACGCAAAAGATTGTGCTCAAACCGAATAGCGCCCTCCTATTGTGTCTGCAATATTTATTTTTTTTTACCTATAGGCTGATGTGCAGGGGATTGTATATATATGTACTTGGGGACACCCCCCTCCCCAGTTTTTTGACATTTTAATCTTGCAAAATTGGTAAGTCCCCCCCCCCAAAAAAAGAAAGGCAACACTCTCTTTATTACGTTTAAACTATTTTTGGAAAGTTGTAAATTGTGAGAAAATGTGACTTTTTTATCAACACACATATTTAGGTTTGTAAGACAGAACTGGGCTTTTTTGAATCAGGGGCGTGGTTCTTCCTAGAGATGTTTTAGATGGAGGAAGCACCTTGTAGTGCAAGGCAATAAGCATGAAGGAACCCCATACGCTGGGTCGTATGTTAGGACTGGGCAGACCTGACTTATTTTCTTGATAAGGTTGGGGGAACTTGCTTTTGCCGTGGCGCTTTTGCTTTTGCCACGACCCCTTTGTTTTTGCCGTGACCCTTTTGCTTTTGCCGTGACAGTTGTGGGCCACCGTAGAAATCATTAATGATCAGCTTAGATACCTCTGCCTCGCGAAAGCATTTGTTGGGCTGTTAGCAGAGCTTGATTTTCCAAATTCTTGAAAATGTGGTGTTACAGCCACTGAATGGGGAACCAAGTTAGCTTACTGTTCTTAAGCCGAGCTGTCGCTTGTAATGTATTCGAGGACGGATGGGTTAAAATAAAGTGCATTTGGTATAGGATATGTAAGTGGGTTTTAAATTGGTATCTGCCTATAGGGCACTATCGTGCAATTCCGCACATATCAGAACCTTAGTTTAAACACGTAGGCCTGCACGTCAACTTCCAACCTGGTTCTTTTAATATGTACCAGCACGTTTACGTGTAAGAGTTTATTTGTGTTCATCAGCTGGCAATCACCATTTTGAAACCTGAATATCCGTTTATTATAAAAATTTTTCAACAATATAATTTGCCTAACTGCTCTGCAGAAATCGATCGTCGGGCGTGCATTTACTGGCATAAAAATCCCATTCCCACTTTATAAAGCTGCTGTAAGAGACAGCAGAAAAAAAGCCTCAGCTCTGATGCGGGGTATTTTAATCCCCCCCCCAATCGCATTTCTCTTGTAAATTTTCGAAAAGGAATTGCTCGTAAGAGAAGGGCTAGGCCCTGTGCCACGAGAGAGGGGTCTCACGAAGTTTGTCATTAATCCAAGGGGCATTTTGTATTTTGAGACATGCGTCCATACAAAGACAAAGACATTATTAAACAAGACGCACGTTGTTATTTAAAGCAAACCACACTTCTAACGTGAGCTTCCTGTTGCCAAACAGTGTCTGCTCTGTTTTGAAATATAAGTTCAGGAAACTTTATTGAAATGATTATTGTCGGTTAAGAACCTTGGGACAGCCAAACAACAACAAACATATTGTTTGTAGACAGATAAAATATTCAATGGAAGAATGGTGCACGATTTTTTTTAAAAATGACATCTGACTTCATTTTAGCTTTTTGAACTTGAATATGACCTTGAATCTTGACTGGACAATGGCATCCACCCACATGTCGTTTGTAACCGTTTTGGTGCCTGTTGTAACCAAAACATACGGTAAATTGTTTTTCTATAGGGCTTTTCTGTATTTGGCGGGCCCACTAATACATTATTTCAACTTCATCACCTCTCATAGGTTGGATATACGACGAGACCGGTAGCTTTGACTTGGCCTTTTTCGTCATGGGAGGTATGTTGACGCTGCCGTTGGTGTCGCTGCTTCTGGAGTGGGTTATGATGGGGAATAGTAAGAACGTGGACGAATCCCGACCTTTTGCCGATCGTTAAAACTCGGTAGAAATGAACCTAATAATGGGTGGTGCTATATATATATAGGGGTTTTTATAACACCTCACCCAAAGATTCTGTAACTTGATTGGCCGAGAGCTACAGTCACCTGGCATTTCGCTGTTTTATCAATCTTCAGTGCCCGTACTAACCAAAGACCTATACGCATGACCACCGACATTGTATGCAAATGCATATTGATATGCGCTTTGAGCGTATGCCGGAGAGCTAGGTTCAAACGTGTGAAGAGGAAATTTGGACAAGTGCTGGTAGATTTCAAACAGATTTCCTGTTCAGACAGACGTATTTTTATATGCAGTCAGAGCACATTATTCGGTTATCTCTTGAACCAGGTAGCTTCTTTGGCAGGGGTGATTTGAAACAAATATTGACTATTTTATTTCGCGGTTTATGGGTACACGTGGTTCATCCGGTGCTCCATGGAGTATTCCCTCTGTGGCTCGGGGAAAAACCTCCGAACGTTCGACGCGTTTATGAACTAAACACATTAAACATTTGAACTCGCGATGCATTTGGACATGAACGTGTTCAACGTATAAAGTGTTTATCATCGGGACATTAAACGCCTGTTTATAGGAGCTAAAACGTGAATTTCATTATTTTCCTCCAATACTCTTAAGTGCCGATGAAATTCAATTCTCGTGTTGTCAGTGGTTAATTTAAGCCGATATAACGTATGGATGCCGAGTGGATTATCACTTGATTACCACACCAAAAATAAATACCGTGTTCAGACAATGCTTTCAGTTGTACCGCCCAGGCACGTGCGCAATATGTACACTCACGTGCATGCGCACTTCGATCTCTTTCCGCGTCCCCGGCCCGCATGTCTGCTGGCTGTTGTTAGTTGCAAAGGTGGAGAAATTGGACTTATCAGAGTTGCATTTACTCGTTTCGAACTCAGGTTCGTGCATATAACGTGCATAGATATTTCAGAATATCGGATGGATGACAACTTTCTGGAAAAATAAGGTCTTCCAACTGTTTTTGAACCATTTTTATTCCCCTTTTAAGTTGTTGCAGTTGGCTTGCCACTCTTCACGTCACTGCGTATGACTTGAACACCTGTACGTCATCCTTACCCAATACACACGTTTAGGCGTTTAAGCAGTATACACTCTTATGGGTTTATAATTAAAAAGTGTTTAACATATGCCAAGCACATCCACATATTTCATCATAAACATAGGCCTACGTTGCGTTTATTAAATAAAATAGTGTGTTCAGCATATAAATTTGTCGTTTGTGTTTATTTATAAACGTATCAAAATGTTTTAAAAGTGTTACAGATTTGCGTTTAATTTATGTTTAGAAAGTAAACGCTTGGGTTTTACAGTAGCATTTTCCATGAGCCATAGGGCCCCTGTACTTAATCCGTCTCGGGTGGTACCCACGTAGTTCGATGTCGGGGCTCCACACCGTCGGTCATCTTGGCACCTTTATACATCTTCGCATTATATTGTACAGTTTAATTAATTATTCAAATTTAACAAACCCTCCGTGGTGTTCCTCGTATTCCTCAATTATCTCCGATTGGGCTCAGTATTCGTTACGCATCGCCTCGTTGGTGGGCGTGGTAAATTTTAAATCCTGGGGCCGTCTTTGAATTGGCTTTTTTGGGGGGAGGAGTAACTGAAGCTTGACTTTCCTGGAGAATGACAAAATACAAAATCCAATCGAATTGGGACATAAGGTAAACTGACGTCCCTGTCAATTTACCTCGACAGGGAAGTAAAACCACCGGGCGGAAAGTGGTCACGAAACATTTCCCCGTAGCCACGGAAAGATTTCCGCGCAGCCACGGGAAGTTAGCAGGGGAAAATCAAATGGGAACACTACTGCGACCGCGATATAAGCCACGTCACCACTCCTTAGAGGGCGTGTATGGCGGAGTTTTCTTAACGGTCTGTGCTGGCATGGTGTGCTGCGCTGTGGGTAGTTAGCATTTATGTGTTCTGATTCAGGTCCCTGTGAGGTCCTACTTCTTTATTAGCGGCCTATACAATGCAGTGAGTGGAGACCTACTGTGTGGGCTTGCACAACGCTGTAAAGACCGATTTCAAGGAAAGGACAGAATCAGGTGAATTTCCCGCCAGTTTTTCGTGTTCCCTGCTTTGTCCATAGTACATTGATGAATTATCACCAGTGCACTGTAAAATCAATGCATCCGGTACCGTCTTATTTATATTATAACTACCATGGTTGGGGTGATTGAATTTCACAGTCCCACGAAGAGACACCCCCCCCCACACACACACACACAAGTGTGTATTTGCCTGCAACTGGGGACCCCCTATTGTTCCTCTTTAGTTTGTACTGTTTTAGAAGACCACCCATATGTTTTGAACACAGTTGTCAATCGGGGACCCTCTGTCAGTCGGGGACCTTATTGTCCGCTATTGTTCAGGGTCCCCAATTGAATGCAGAAACAAACTCACAGACACTGGCTGGTCTGCAACTTGAACGACACCCGACAGGGATTGGAAAGAATATCGATTTCTTCCATTTCACAAACAGACGGTCAAGCTTGCGCATGACAGGCTTATTGTAGTGGAGGAAGCCGCAAAGGTATAAAGAATATCGATTTTGCAATTTCGCATCAAAGGAAACTACAGTATCATTTTACTACCATATTTTTTGTAGCGGACGATTAGCGGACGGGAAATAAAGTATGATCATTAAAGAACTTACCGACTGAATTGACAGTATATTTGTTGGAGCATTAATTTTGGGATATGTTACATGCGAAATTGGTGAAATTGTGTTCTAATGTTCAAGATCGGATTAGTGACTGTTGGCATAATATTTGATTTTGGAAAGATCAATGTCTGAGCAAATTTCATAATTATTTTCAGTGACTTCCATTTTGCCTCCGTTCACCTTGTACAGAAGATCCACCATCGTCAGGGATGTGTGTCCCTTAAATGACTATACAGTCTCTGTTTTCGGTGACAGCCCTGGAAAAGATTCTTTTTAAGGTTCGCTTTGGACAATTCTAAAGACAGAGAGTATCTCCCGTTCGCAATCTCAGAGGGATGCATTTTGTTTTAAAATTTCGACGTTTAAATTCATGGCAAGAAGCGAAGAAACAGCGCAAAAGCTGCCTATCAGTTCTGAATATTAATAGTTGGAAAAGACCACCAGTGCTTAGCCTACTTATTGGCTTAAATTTCGTGACCAATTCTGCCATGTCATGTCTTTTGTAACAACAAACCGTGAAAATAAATATTTTATATTTCATGTCAAGATAATAACCATTCTGTATCTGATCTAACTGCAAAACTCAATTAGTAGTCCTCATGCATACTGAACCTGAATTCATTTTTTTCTTTTGAGAAATCTGACAAAAACTTAAAAATCTGAAACATCTTATAAACACCTTAACACCTTAAATGTTACAAACGGCTGTGCACTGATAAGAGACGTCTAACCTTATGCTGCATAGTACAAGAAAGTTAGCAGAACAAACAAAGCAATTTGGTAGGGGAATTAAAATGCGTTGGGACACTTTGAGACGCTTGGTGACGACAGCCATACTGGTCCTTTTACCCAGTTCTGAGCATGCGCCCGCATAGTTTCAAGCTCGTGAATGCCTTGAAAAACGACTGGTATGCCTGCTGCCGCCAGCGTCTCAAAGTCTCCCATCGGATGGACGATTTATTGTTGTCGCCAGCCCCTTAGCTGGTTTTTAGTATAGTTTAACGGACCCGTGGAAATTCTAATTCCATTCATAAATACCTTTTTATGGTAAAATGTACAAATAAATCCAAATAATTTATATTTTCTTATGAGGATGGCATTTGCTAGTTTCACTGGGTTGCTTTTCACGGCCAACTTAGCAACCAAAATACTATGCCCTTTAGTCAACCAAAACCTATGACCACTGGCATTGTATTCAAATGCCAGTGCTTTGCGCGCATTAAAGTGACAGTCTTTTTACGTGTGGCCCTTGGTGTAGCCAGAGCCATCAAAAGGGGCCAGAGGACTCAACTGGTTTATTCTGAAAGATGAATATAACTGGAAAGGAAACTGTTTGAAGGTGTTCCCTCCGATCAAGCTGGCATTGGAATGACTTAGTAATATTAATGATGTAATATGTCAATCAAATGGTTACTGGTAGTTAACTTGCCACTTTGTGCCGGTGAATTAACACACAGTACTAAGAGATGGCATATTTTCACGATTGGCGCTATTTCCCGCAAAAAACCCTTGAAAGCCGCCGTTTTAGAAGTTCATGAAATTCGAACATTCCACATAAGAAACTAAGGGGAAGAAAGGAACCAGCTCTTGACACAAGTGCTTTCAAAGACAAGCATAATGTTTGAAACGTAATTTGTGTCCATTTAGTGTACGAAAAAAATTGAGAATCTTTAAGAATTGTTACAAAACAAAAGTACTGCCTTCGTACAGACCTTCACTACATCGTCTACAACAGTTTCCTTAAATTACACCATTTAGACCTGTTATGCTAAAAATGGCAAGTATTGCATAATCAAAGTAATAAGAACTGATTAATGTCAATATAACTAAAGCTTAATAAATGAAACAATAAAAAATGAATACTGGAAAGGAAACAGTTTGAAGGTGTTCCCTCGGATCCAGCTACTGGAATGACGCTTACGGCCCGTATTCAAAATAGCTATTTTGTCAACGGACGATTGTGATTGGACCATGAATATGAATATTAATAAGAAATGAATATCGATGAACCTTCTTTAAATAAAATGAGACTGGGATATATTTTATGGGCGTGACACAAGCATCAAATTAAATTAATCAGTTATCGCTTAGATCAAGCGAATCTATGGGAGAGGTGTTATCAAACAAGTATTGGCTGATAGAGTGAACTATCCTCGCATGGTGATCCACAAAGCATTTTATTTTCACTTGACTTTGTCTCAGGAAAATGGAATGATTCTCCATGGATCACTGAGGGGGCTAGTTTTACTATACCACTCAAAGCGGTCAGTATTTGGGAACTATTGGCAGCCAACTGCACTTTCTCTTTAAACACTGCGCGTGCTGCGCAGCTGCATGTGACAAAGTTATTAGCCGTTTACGCTGTAGGCTGAAAATTTTGCTTTCATGAAACAAGGACTCATAAGTTGTATTGCGTACGCCTACGTAACAATGACTGCTGTCATGAATGATAGTTAGGAGTCTATAAAACAGGAGTCATCCTTTCACATGAATCCGGAAAAATGTTTAAAAAACAGCGGTAGTGAAGTCGGTGTAATTACTATTTGAAACAACTGCGCGTTAGAAATGGATAACGAACACCTCCGGATCGATTGAACTGCAGTGCAGCGTCTAGTGGCGCAGGTTTTTTATGGCAAAATGACGAGCGATCAAGCTCAGCCGTTCACAATTCTACGACATAATTATTAGAACTTGTTTTTGTAAGTAATGCTGATGCTGCCAACATATGGAAACAGATCCAATGCTGCCAAACGATTAAACGAGCTCGGCAATATCATGTCGAAAAATTAACAGATTCACAACTGGACAGCTTCCAGTTTGAATTAATTAATTATCAAGCTGTGCTCTGAAAATCAGATGACGGGGATTTATACTGGTGTTACATAAAACAAATAATGAATGCTTCGCATTCGTGCAATGATAAGAATAACTGCAATCGGTGACAGACAAAACGCTTTATTCCACGAGGCGAGTGGGATAGACCGTTTCATCTGTCACCTCATGCAATTATTCTTACCATCGCATTCAGACACATGATTATTCGTAAAGTCTTAGTGTATAGAATCCCAGAATTGACACACTGTTGGAAAGGATTGATTTTGGAGAGGGGACATGCCTATATAGTTTACGTACCGTCTTTCAATTAATATTCCCTTGTGTGATTTTCCGCGTTGTGTTTCTGCGTTAAGTTTTCCCACATCTTTAAGAGTGCTTCCCCTCCACCACTGTCCTTAATCAATAGATTCTGATTGCCAACGAGCACTGCTTGGCCTTCGTCAAGAGCAGCCTCGATAGCTTTGTAGCTATTCGCAAATACGATGTAACGTGGTACGTTCGTCAAGGTTACCTCCAGCCTATTCAAGATCATGCCGACGTAGACGTCGTCCCACGGCAAGAACCGCACGTGCGGGGACTCCTTGTGGAACCAAGCCACGACGTCACCGGACAACACGTAGCATGGCCCAAGGAAATGGGGAGGATACGTCGGCTCTGGGTACAGTTTCTCTGTGGTGTGCCACTTCGTGTTTTTTTTCCGGTTCGGTTTTTTTCCAACCAGCAGGTATCCTTCGCCGTACTTGGTTCGGGGCCTCTTGGCCAGTCGTCTGACGATATTGTACACGTTCAGCAACACATCGTCATCGGCGCTGGCCACATATTCAGCGCCCGGGCAGAACGTGGAGGCCCATCGCCATCCCATCATGGTCTTGTGAGTCAAGTTTAGATAACTGTCTACAAAGTCGCTCTGTATGATATCATGATGTTGGCTGTTCTCGTTGGTCACCATGGCGTTCTGAGCTGAACTTACGGCCTTTCCAAGCAGGAACATGGTCAGCGTTTGTCGGCCGTCCACTTTTCGCACCCCTCCCCACGTTTTTCGAATGAGCGCCCTCCGGGAGCTCCCTCCTGGCCGGCACTTCACCAGAATCAGTAAGAACACGTCCCGTTGGCTCGTCGCATTCTGCATGCATACATGCCCGTTGGTCAGAGTGAAATTATAAGGGAGCGGGCCGATCACCTTGTCGGAGTACATGGGGATGCTTCTGGTCTTACTGTTGGAGGTAGCTTGCACGTTCTTGCTGTTGTTCACTTTCGCATTTTTGTTAATAAGGGGTGGCTTGGTGCGCAAGGTAGGTTGTTCTTTCGGGTCAACAGATGGTTTAAACACAGAGTTTTGTCTGTAATTTCGTAATCTTGTCATTTTCTGGACAGCAATCCAGCAGATGATAGCCACAAAGACGATTCTTGTGGCAATTTGGGCCTTAGTCTTGGTGAAGTACATGATTCCAGCACGCCTGCCACCACAATGGCAGAGAATAATGGCAGCAAGGAAGCACCTGTTTTGTTTTGTTTCTTTTTTCGTCTTTATTAATGTCACGTTGTCGAACAAGCACTGAAGCGTAAGACAGGCGGTCGATGTCGCAGTGCCAACTGGACGAATCAAATACGGTATATTGAAATAGGACTCACACACAAAATACTGACCGCCTTCTTGTGGTCTTAATTTACGGAAACTTACCAAGCGTTTGATGGGCATTTTCTAGAAACCGCCGATTTCACAGACAAAACATTCCTATACATCGACTGCACTGGGCGCGAGACAATTATTTTAGGCAATGCGCCACTTTTAAAAACCATGGGCAAACTGCTAAATTGTCCCCCGGGGTTACTTTATTTGGGCGCACTGGTCGACACCATGGAAACGAGGTTGATCAAACCGTGGCAAACTCGTCCGTCAAACTATAGTGTGCAAGTTTTTTATCGTGGAGTATTGATGGCGACATTATTTAAGACCAGAATGCACAAATGGTGAATTATAAGTTCCAGGTGCGATGTGACAAAAAAATTCTCGAGTTAATATGAGAGGGCGCCACAACTTTTTTTTTCAAAATGCTTGAAAACTAAGTAAATAACCTTTGACAAACGTGAGGGAGTGAGTGAGGGTGACATCGGGTAAAAGTGAAAATCACATTTTCCTGTTTATTTATTCAGCTACCGTATGATTTTGTATTTGTTTGCTTAGTGGTTAGAGGGGTTGTGTTTAATTTTTATTGAGAATTTTACCTTTATATTTGGGAAAGTCTATTTACGAAAAATATCCATGAAGTTTCAATAAGATACACATCAATGTCTTTCTAAGTACAGGTCAAGAAAATTGAAGGGACCAAGCCCAAAGTTCCCTTTGTCCTTCAAAACACCTCCAGTGGCCATTAATTTCCATTCTAAATAATAAATGATTAAAGTATATGCGAGAAAATAGGGGACCACACAAGTCATCTTGAACCGAAATCCTGCATAAGGTAACAAATGGGACATTGAAACACAACATAGCTTAGGGGGAACTGTACACCGCTAAAACAGCGGTGTTGCGTTGGTGTTAATTTAACACCGTGGGCATTATTGGAGGACTACACCAGTCATGTTCCTCTGACAACATCGATGGTATTAAATTTTATTGCAGTGTATATTTTCCCCACACTTCAAGGCAGAACTGGGCTAGCCTGGGGCCCAAGGCCAAGGAAAAATTTTGGAATCTACCCAAAATATTAAGGGTTTTTGAAAACACTGCATTGTGTAAGAACACACAACCACACAAACACACCGGTATCTTTTTCTAATCAAATGATAGCTGCAATCATTTCTTCCATAAAAGCCTCAATTGCACCTCTGTGTCTCAGATAATATTTTCAACTTTTGTTTCACTGTTTCAAAGTGTATTTACTGCCTTTTTGGTTTTTATGGTAACGAGGATTTCTGTATTCGTGAGCAAACTGTGATGTCATCCCCGTAAAGAAAGCCTCAATGTTATATTGATTTGTACATAAAAAAAGGCCTGCACATCTTGTAGGTTTTCCTGGACTCCGTCTTTTCTTTTTGCTGATTCGTAGAAATAATGAAGCATCGATCCTTCACTCTGAATTGATTTCAGTAAGTAAATTTTGGGTTCACAATTTGAACAGAAACACATATGCATAGAACCATGTCCTTCCTAGATGACTTCACAGCAACAGCGCCCTCAGGTGTCCGGGCAAGCATGTGCAATTTTAATTCTTTAAATAAGTGCAATTGTCAAACAACCAAAAAGGAATTAGAAAGAGTTTTATACATTGAAGAAGAATGCAAAGTTGAAGAAAACTTGTGTCTAAGACAAATTCTTTGCAGGTACACTTTAAAGGTTCACACTAACCGATTCAGCTTGGTAAACCTTGAGTCGGCATCAAATGCGAAGCTTCAGCGTTTACCAGCGCTTCGCGAACAAGGCTAGATCAAGACCAAAATGGGGGGGGGGAGAAATGGGAGAGCAAAAAAATTCTTGGAATTTTTTCATGAAACATAGGGAACACTTAATCTCTGCCCTATACATGTAGTGTAATCCGCCTTAAGCAGGAGCACCACCCATCAGTTGAAAGGAGCCATGTTGGTATGGCGTGTTCATTGTGTTTACAGCGGCGCAATTGTAACGCGTGCCTTTCATGGTTCGTTTGTGAACCAGCTAAGTGCAGTCCTGACCAACAGAGCCTCCGTGGCTCGGAAAATGTCGCCCTCTCTTAATTGTTTCAGCTCGGGGCTCATTTACTGCGGCGACACAACGCTGACGGACAGGTGGTACGCGCACGTTACATACCTCTTCGATCAATGCAAGTAATTTGCCCGATGCACGCGTGCGTCAAGCTAATGAATGTGCGTGTGAGTACGGCGCCACGACAGTCATGACGTGTAATCGGTTAGTCTATCGGGTTTGTAAGTGACGTCGTCATACATGCGCACGCACCACAAATTATTCGCTCTCATTGGTTGAATAGACACAAGGTGTAACTCTATGTGAAGTGGTTTAAACTGAAGTGACGTCACACTTATGAACCGGATTCTCCAAGACCCTTAATTAAATGCCTCAGACCTGTATCGATTTGGAAGATTTTACTCAGGGGTGGATAGGGGGGAGGGGGTCCATGCCCCCAACCCGAAGCCCCTCCCCCATTGAACTGATTGCGGACGGTTGAAATTGTTGGTCAGTTATATCGTCATTCTTTAAAAAGCCCTGAAATGTAGCCTTCCCACTCAGAAAGGCCACAAAAGGTTACCTGAGAAAATTCCAAGTTTTTCTACCCCTCAAAAAAGAAAGAAGTTTGGTCCCCCCAAAAATTTGGTTCTGGATCCGCCGTCGATTCTTACGCATAATCTGTAGCTTAGAAAGTGGAATAGATCTTTGACACACCTCCGTAAAGTCTATACCCTTGTATAATTTCTGGCTTTGTGTTTCTGCGCAACTTTCTCCCAGATCTTTAAGAGTCGAGCGTTGTGACCTGCATCGGACGCCCATGCATGATAGCGTTCATCGCCAACGAGTACCGCCAGGCCGTTATCAATAGCAGCCTCGCTCGCTCTGTAGCTCTCTTTGTATCGGAGGTACCTTGGTTCATGTACCATTGTTACATTAAGCTTATTCAAGACCATGCCAACGTAGACGTCATCCCATTGCAAGAACCGCACGTGCATGGACTCCTTGTAGACCTTGACCGCGACATCACCGGACAACACATAGCAAACCCCGGAGAAATACGGAGGATAAGTCGGTTCTGGGTACAGATCCAAACTAGTGTGCCACTTGCTTCTTCCCCGGTATGGCTTGCTCCCAACTTGCAGAAAACCTTCGGCGTAGTTGTTTCGGATCTTACTGACCAGTCGTCTGACGATAGTGTGCACATTCAACAGCACGTCGTCATCGGCGCTGGCCACATATTCTGCACCCGAGCAAAACTTTGATGCCCATCGCCATCCCATCATGGTCTTGTGAGTCAAGTTTAGATAACTGTCTACAAAATTCCCCTGGATGATATCGCGGTGTTGCCTGTTCTCGTTGGCCACCTTATCGTTCAGAGTTGAATTGACGGTTTTTCCAAGCAGGAACATGGTCAGCGTTTGTCTACCATCCACTTTTCTCACCCCTCCCCACGTTTTTCGAATGAGCGCTCTCATGGAGCTCCCTCCTGGCCGGCACTTCACCAGAATCAGTAAGAACACGTCCCGTTGGCTCGTCGCATTCTGCATGCATACATGCCCGTTGGTCAGAGTGAAATTATAAGGGAGCGGGCCGATCACCTTATCGGAGTACATGGGGATGCTTCTGGTCTTACTGTTGGAGGTAATATTCAAATGCTGGCCAGTGTGATTCTTTGCAGGAATCACTTCAAGGGGTGCCTTTGTGACCAAGATCCTTTGCTTTGGGTTAACAAGAGTTGGTGCCCCTTTGGAGTCTCGTCGTCGTTGGCTCTGCCGATATGTGATTTCCTGGACGGCAAACAAACAGAAAATCACGACAATGATGATTCCCGTGGCCCTCTTGGTTTTGCTCTTGGTGAAGAACATGATTCCTGGAGGCCTGCGGCTACCGTCAGAGACATGCAGAATCAAGGGGCAAGCTGGGAGCTTTCGCTTTCCGGGTTTGGCACGGTGAAATCAGCAGCATTGGTCCAGGGTATTCCAATGAAGTTGGACCGGATTCAGCAACTTTTGATGTCTTTCTGGAGGGTAGAGCGTGGGAAACCACTTTAGAATTACTGGCCCACCTTTTGCATTTTGGGGCCAGCCTCCAAATATCGACTCTGGAGAAATCTATTCACCAATAGCGACCAACGTTACAAGCTCCAACCTTTCACCAAGCGATGGTATCAGTATAGACAAAGAACACCGCAGTAAGCAAGAGCGATGCTTCTCCTCTGTCCGAATTGACGACAATCATCAAAAATAACAATTGCAGCTGTTGATATCACGACATCCTCTCGTGTAATGGAATCAATACAGTCATCCGAATAAACTGTAATAATGCATTGATCACGATTGGCCTTCAAAGTGCACGCAGTTCCTGAATGATCCAACGTCGGCAGATCGGTGTTGGAAGTGAATAGTGCGTATTATTGATTTGCAATATGCAAAATGACGTTATTAACACATTGGTTAAAACTTTAACGTAACAAAGGGTCTTTACTGAACCACCTCTAGCAAGCAGAGACATCTGATGCCCCTCCCCCCAAAAAAGAATCATTTAGTACACTGTGAAGCACATTAACCCTGAGAGGAATTTTGACTTTCTTGAGGTTTTATTATATATAGCAACCTGTTTCCCAAATGACTAATACCCTCGGAACCTTTATTAATTGCTGTTGAAAACAAAGCCAGAAGCAACAGGGTGCCATTTTGTCAAACGTTTTCTTTTTTGCGATGCCGCCTTTGCCCTGCGAAATGAAATATTTCAGAATTGATACTGGAGGTTTTATTCCAGTGAAAACGAGCGGCGGCGATTTCTTCTCAATGTTGTGAGCATGGAATGGGAGAAATGTACACAACCAAAGATACATGTATTGTAAAGATCAAGGCCCATTGTGTTATCGGAGTTTTCGAATTTGGTCACCTGGCATTGAACAGTGGTTTTGAGAAAAGTCAGTTTTAAGTTGGTCAAGTTTTTGAAACACAGATTTTGCTGTTTTTAGAACACTTGATGAATGTTTTGATGCAGATGGTAAACTAAGCTGAGATCTTAAATTCCACAAATGTACCAGTTACACAATAATGGACCAGTTATTTGCAGGAATTTTTCCGTTTGTGAAAATCCCAAAATCCCACAGTTTTTTGAGGGGCAACTTGCCTGTATCTTTAGCACGCCAAATTCGTCCCCGAAATAAGCGTGTACCACGTCTAAAAAGATCCTACTGCGATGTTTATACGTGAAGACTACGTGTATGCCGTCTTTAGTATGTTGCCACTCCGATTGAAAACCATTACAACCCTGCTACGTAAATTCTGAGCATGCTCGAAATTTTAGCACCACCTTCCCGTCTATGAAGACTCTACCACGTCACTATTAGTTCCACTGAGTTCTTACTACAGTACAAGATTTCACCATAATTGGCCAAGCTTTCCGATTTTTTAGGACGAAAGATCGTGCTCGATCGAGTGTGCTTGGGGCTAAACATGAGATTTGACGACATGGTTGGTAAGTTTCAACATGGCTGATGTTGAAACATCAATTTTCAGGTGGTCTGAAGCAATGAAATTGATCTCATCGAAATAATCACAAACGACCCTTTTTCAGAATCATTGTCATGCACGCCGGAGAGAAAATGTCTGATGACTTTTTTGAACGCTGTTAACAAAAAAAGCAGAATCGGGTATGTTTTGTCAGTATTTGAATAAAAATCGTTTAAAAAAGGAAAATTACTTTCTGTTGTGCCCTGCACACACCTATTTTGTCTGTCTGATGCTAAACTTTGAGTTAAAATTCGAGCTTCACTGATAGATTAGATGGGCGTTGATAGACGGACACGCGGGCAATGAAGCCTGCGCGTTCCACGGTTACTGTCAGCAAACTAGCAAGATTTCAACAAAAGAATCGTGCAACTATTGTCGAAGCGCTACCTTTAATTTAACCCGTTCGCTGCAGGTGACTGCTACTACAGCACCTTTGCGTGAACGTTAGGGGTGCAGTGTCCCAATTCAAGGAAAATTCTTTGCCAGGCCGAGGCGCACAAAAAGTACCCCCCAGAGATTGTTTCAAAAAGAGG